AGCAAGTCAAACTTTTTTCATGGAGCTGTGTCGAGACGCTGATTCCAACCCCTGGGGCGACGCATACCGAGTCGTGATGGCGAAGATCAGAGGTCCTACGATGCCTGCTGAAATGTGCCCAGAGAAGCTGAAAGTCATCGTGGAAGGACTTTTCCCGAAGCACGACCCAACGACCTGGCCACCTACACTGTACGGAGAAGGAGAGAGAGAGATAACGTCGAAGTCACCAACGAGGAACTCGTAGCAGTAGCGAAAGGATTGAAGGTGAAGCAAGCTCCCGGTCCGGATGGAAAGTGGCGATCCAGGCGTCCCCGGACATGTTCAGGATGGTGCTGCAGAAATGCCTGGACGAGGGTCACTTTCCTGACAGGTGGAAGATACAGAAGTTGGTGTGGCTGCCGAAACCACGAAAACCCCCCGGGGGATCCAGCATCGTTTAGGCCTATATGCCTGCTGGATACACTCGGAAAACTCTAAAAAGGCTGACGAAATGCACGGAGAGTGAACACGGATTGCCGGAGAAGCAGTTCGGATTCCGGAAAGGGAGATCGACTGTGGATGCAATTCGGACAGTGGTCGAGAGAACCGAGAAGGCGTTCAAACAGAAGCGGAGAGGAAATCGATATTGCGCCGTGATAACGATCGACGTCAAAAATGCGTTCAACAGCGCCAGCTTGGAGGCCATCGCCGAAGCGCTGCATATAATGAGAGTACCTGAGGAGTTATTTTCAGAACCGGGTTCTGGTCTACGAGATAGACATCGGCCAGGATCACAGCGGGAGTTCCTCAAGGCTCTATCCTTGGTCCAACGCTCTGGAACACGATGTACAACGGCGTGCTAACGCTGAAACTGCCCAAAGGAGTTGAGATCGTTGGCTTTGCGGACGACGTCGTCTTGACGGTAACAGACGAGACGCTGGAAGAGGTGGAAGTGTTGTCAACCGAGGCGATCGACATGATTGGTAGCTGGATGCAAGAAGCGAAGCTGCAGATAGCCCACCACACAACGGAAGTGCAATTGGTCAGTAACTGTGAAGCGGTACAGCGGGCAGAAATCGCCTCGAAGCGTGTGTTAAAATACCTGGGAGTGATGATCGATGGCCGGCTAAACTTCAACAGCCACGTCGAATATGCCTGTGAGAAGGCTTCGAATGCCATCAACGCGATAGCTAGAATCATGGTGAACAACGCTGGTCCCAGCAGTAGCAAGTCGATACTGAGGTATGAAGGTCCAACCTGGGTTGCAGCACTGGAAACGAAGCAGAACCAAAGGAAACTGAGCAGTACGTTCCGGCTGATGTCCATGCGAGTCGTGACTGCGTACAGAACCACCTTGTCGGAAGCAGTATGCGTTATCGCCGGAATGATCCCTATCGGCATCACCCTGGCGGAGAGAAGCCGGAAGAGTACGAAAAGTTGTGAGAGTGGAGTCATTGGCTACGGCTACTTCAGGAAATACCTGCATCGATTCGCAGCATCACCCCTCTGTCCGGAGTGTTGCAACGTCGATTAATCGCCGGAGCAGGTGGTCTTCGATTCGAGGCAGTGCGAAGGGAGATGCCCGTCCTTAACGTGGAGAATGTTGTCGTTGAAATGTGTCGAGAGGAGAGCACTTGGAATGCCGTCAGCAGGGCAGTCACGCAGATTATGTCGGAGCTGCAGCGTAAATGGAGAGAAGAGCAGCGATCTAGCAACGCCTGCTAGCGCTGAGAGTACGACAAGTGCATGAGCACAGCCACCCCCCGAAGTAGTCGCTTCACAGTGGTCCCGGGGGGTCCAGGCAGAGGAGAGAGTAAGGAATAGGTTTTAGTGGAGCTACGCTAGGCAACTAGTGAATACCACACCGTGCCAACTTCACTACAGGCCAGGTTTCTTGAAGCTTTCCTAAACCTTACTATACAAAAAAACATAGTTGCATAAGCAACAAATTTCGACCAACAAAAGGGAAATTTATAAGATAGTCCAAGGAAAATTACAGGAAGTTCCGAGGATGCTTCTAGAACTTCTTCTATGGTCCTAGATTAGAAAGAACTTTTGGAAAGTTCAGAGGGAAATTTTGGATTGTTCCGAAGGAAGTTTCTAAAGAATTCCGGGAAAAATCCTAGGGAAACTTATGGGAAGTTCGATCGGACTTTTGGGAAGCTCAGAGCGAGCATTGCAAATATGAAATTCATTTAAAAATAGTAAACACAATTACGGGACAGAATCTACTTTAGTCGAACAAAAATCGTAGCGCTCAACTCAGGCATCCTAGAGGGGTGTCTTCGGCAAAGTTGTTCAGGTGGATAGGACTTTGTTTGGACATAATTAGTTTAGTTCCAGACAGTGGCGTTGCGTGACCTCACTTTTTACCTGTTCAACAACTTTGAAAACGTTATTTACGGTCATGTTTACATTAAAATCAGTTTCAAAAGGCCTTCTAGTTTCACTGATTTGTATCCATTGAAACCAATATTGTTTTGTTTGTTTACGTTTTGAGAGTTGTTGAACAGGTAGATTAAGGTTAGGGCGATGCCACTGGTTCCAGATCACGCCGTTCAGATTGCGCTACAACTAACTTTTTACAGAAGCATCCTAGCAAAAAAAATCTACAATGTTGTTTGTTGCAACTCTTTTGAAGATGTCAAAATTCCACAGCCTACTGAGAATGAGATATTCTACAATTATGTCAAGAGCTTATGGAATGTTACAAAGTATTATGAGTAATTGCTTGTACAACAATGAGTAACAGATCCTCATTAAAGGTGTAAAAAGTTTACACATTCTAGGGGAAGTCTCGTTTTCCCTCAAATATGCATACTTTATAGACTAAATTGAGTCCTTTATAGTCATTATTGCGTATTTTGCGGTTTCCGTGTAAGAAAACGGGGCGTTTCTGTAGTGGAAAAATAGTGATTTCCCTTTCGCAGATTTAAGAATTCAGTATCTAGCTCTGAAAAAAAACGGATGGTACCCTCATTTTTGATTTTTGATTTTAATTGTAAGTCCCTCCTCTCAAGCATACTCAACGTAAAACATGCTGCCTAAGCCCCTCCCCGATCGATAAAATGCGAGAATCGGGGCTTGGGATGCATTTTGAGTGCGTTGAGAATGCTTAAAAGGAGGCACTCACAATTGTAATCTAAAATCATAAATAAGGGGTACGTTTTTTCAGATTAAGGTACTGAATTTTGAAATCCTGAAAGGGAAAACTCAAGAAATTTAATTTAGCAAACTGAGTAGACACCCTCGTACTAGGGGCAAGACAACTCATAATCATGAGCAATTTTTGAGTTGCTTTTGATGCACCTCGAGTAACTCACATTGCTCAGTGAGAAAGATCACTGTCATTTGCTTTCTCGCTTTTCGCATCACAGCAACACATGAAGGTGCATCTTCTTGCAAAGCCGAAAAGCTGCTGTCAATCAAAACAAAAATAAAAAAAAAAAACAAATTTACAGAACTTAATAACTCAGCGAAACTCGGAGAAACTTTAATTGATTGATTTGATTATCCAGCATCATCTCTGCTTCATAACCTTCGTTCAACCCTTACCAACTGTAAACGTGAACGGGACCTATTGCTGCCTAGCTGCCTTACACTTACCAAGGGCGAATGCTTGTCCGACTTGATATGGTGGAAAAACTCGATCTGCCTGACCAAATACTCAAAATCCGACAAATTACGTACCCCGCACGTACTATAATACTCGTCGAAGCAATCCCGTTCCCATGGCTTGGCAAATTGCCGCTGGATGAAACTGCGAACTGAGCTCTGAATTACCACATCCATCCTTCTTCTTTTTGGTGCTTCTGCTGTGCCTTCCGGATGATCGTGATAGGTCCCGTTTCTGCGGTACACCACCGTGATCTTGCTGCGGCCGTCGACGGCAGTCTCCTTTAAAGTAGAACATCACTACATACGTGTGTTCTTCGGTTTCTCGTTGGCTAAGTCCATAGCGGCCCAGGTGTAGAATTTGTTGTTCGTCTTCATCTGTTTTATGAACAGTGCTGACGATAGCGAATGATTGGTAGTGATCTTGTGAACTTGATCACGTCTCATGACGATCCTGTTCTTGGTCTTAGCATGGCCGTGGGAATGCAAAGAGAAAGTCGACGAAGATAATCTGTCAGCTTGATTTGTTCTTCGAATGACCGGTTTTCACTTCGATTTCGTTCGGTTGATCGTTGATGGGTTTGAAGTCCGGACGAGGATCGCACTCACTTGCATCGGAAATGGCGGCGGCTGCTCTGGCTGAACATTCCGCGGGGGTAATGGTTGGTAGCGTTGCCGTCGGAGCTGGAATTGGGTGTTAATCGGTTGTTGCCCCACTGGGGAGATGTTTTATAAATCGGAAACTGTAGTGGCGGATTTTGGGCCACGTTTGGAATATTGCTCACCACGCTATGTTTGATGTGCCGTGATCGAATCTTCACGCTGTAGCTAACTTGCATGGTGCTAACGAGAAGGGGATCGGAGTTAGTTATTACCATTTTCAATGGGACTTCTGTTACGACTAATGGATCAATCGATGCTGATGGGATCGTTACATTACAGGTGAAATTCCAGATGTTTAGCAGAATAGCTGTTTGGAGAGCTTGTTTGATCAGCGATGATCCTTTTGAAGTGACCACTAGGACTGGCTGCTGAGGGGGAAGAACAACTGCTGAAAGCTGGCTGGAACTGCAAGTTCTTCCGGGTAGTAAGCAGGCACCGGCACAGGTTCTTCCATAATATTCAAGCTATTCGAAAGCCTCAGGATACACTTGGGCTTACTTTGTTTACAAACAAAATAGACGTCTGATATGAGAAGCATATTCTTAAAGGGTGTAAGCAGAGAAAAAAATCGATGAACGTCGATTAAATATTGAGGTACATTGAGTTACTCGCTGCAAAAAAGCAACTCAGAGTAAACCTGTCTCACCCCTTGCCCTCGTACGTGCACCTGTTACATGAAGCATCTAAATTAAATTCAGCTATTATAAATTTTCGACTAATTCATTCCATTCCGTTCGTTACAGAGCTCCGCAGGCAGTTGGAGCATGCTTCCCGCATCGGCATGGTCCTGTCGGCCAAATCATCGCCTCGGAACTACGGCTCTAACGTCTTGGTCGAGCAGATGGACAGTTCGTCCTGCCACGGATCGAGCAGTGAGGACAGCGAATCGGATAGTTCGTCCTCGACGAGTTCAAGCAGTAGTGACAATGGTGAGAACAACAACGACAACGACGGTAGTAGCTCCAGCAGCATGAGCGACGACGATGACGAAGTTGCACAGCTGGTCGGCGACGACGATAGGGAACCTCTGGTCGCGATGGACGAGGTACCCGTTCCGATGGAAGCAAACGGTTACCACCATCATCGCCGTCGAGCTGAGCACCAGAATGGGTTGTTTGCTGACGACGAAGAGGAGCTGAGCGGCGAGGACGGCCAGGTGTCCCCGCTGAGCGCTCAAAGCATCAATTCTCCGCCTCCTCCGCCGTTGGTGATGAACTGAACTGCTCAACAAAAAATTGCGGGTTGTTCGATATGTTTTGATTTGAGGAAGATTTGTTTTTCTTATTTTCAATTTTTCGTATAAGGTTTAGAACGAACCATGATAGTCATCCTAGGTAAGGTTAAGTTACATTTCTCAATATTTGAGAACACTTTTTCCTACTTTTTTTTTGCTTAATGTTAATGATTCTCAACCTATAATTTTACATTTAATATATGTTGCATCATCGACCAGGAAAATGTTTGAATTGATACAAAAAAAAAAATCGCAAAATAAAACTTTAATCCACAAAAAGTGAACCCTTTTACGTAACTAGATTTTTGTTCTGTTGAAGCAGCGAAAGCGTCAAATGCGACAAAGCAAAAAGGAAAATACACATGTGATTTCTTATTAATAGAGGAAACCGACATACAAGTAATATTAAAGGTGAAAATCAATGAAAAAGATAACTATACATGCATCAAGTAAGTGATCAATATATAGGTGGGGACACATTTTTAAAGCTAATCAATAGTAGTAATAATAATAATAATAATAACAACAACAAAAAAGCTGAAAATCGTTATGTGATTAACAGAGACAAAAAGTAAACTTGCAACAAAGATAAGAAACAAAACACCGTAGGTAATTCGTAAGCAAAGTGAAGAAATTAAGATATTTATATTTTTAGGGTAAACTTTTTATATCTCTCGGAAGCAAAACAAACAAAACACAAAACGAAACTTTTTGGACGAAACCGGCGCGAGATTTACTGTAATTTTTTTCGGTTTACTTCCGTTTCTGACCGGGAATTCGGGCATTTCTTGGAAAAGGCTTTCCCCTACCACCCTCCCTCCCCCAAACTAGTAACGATCAAGCGCAGAAAGTACCCCCACTTCCTATGAGTCGACAGGATATTTTACGAATGTTTTAAATTTGTAAAATATGCATTTCCGGTGGATGGAAGGACATTTTACAAATTGCGATTGAAGTAAACAATAATTGGGTAACGAGAGCGAATTGAGTCAACGTAAGAGATGACGTGTGTTTGATGATCTACAAATATTGCTATCGGCGAAGAAATTTGAACGCTTATTTCCGTTATACAGACTTACTGTCAGGCATGCATTATTATTATTATACAGCTATTATATATATTACTAATGGAGAATTCGGATTAGAAACAGATTTACCCAACTATGAATGATGAGAAACGCAAAAAAAAAAACAAGTGAAAAGTGCGGTAGAATGCAAATTAAGTTAAGTCTAAAGTCTAAGTGTTGTTTGAAGAAAAAAAAACGTATAGAAACTATATTAATGATTAATAATGGGAGTGGGTTTCAGTGTGTTGCTAGTGAAATATTACATCATTTGGGAATGGAATATTCTAGAATATTCTAATAAATTTTAGTGATGTAATTAACGTTTCAGCAGTTCTCCGATTTGCATAACTGTGTGTTCTGTGGATGCTGTATTGTTTTTCAAAATGGCGGCTTTGTAATTTTTCAATAAATGGTAGCACGAATTTTGATGGGCGTTGGCCAGATTTGGACCTCGAGTCCGTGCTCTGTCACAATGTTTCATTGTGACTAATCAACACTCAAAGGGGTAAAACATCACATTTGGGGTGAATTTTTGAAGAAAGGGAACTTGGAGTGCAGGGCGCACTGCCCAATGGACGATTCTGAAGCCTGGCCAAGTGAGGGCCAAGGGTTTAGGAAGGAACTGACTAAGCAAGGACAGCAGATCGCTCAGCTGTCGAAACGAATCGCAATGACAACTCCAACCCACTTGAGTTCCGGCGATCTTATGCGTCAACCGCCATTAAAACGGCCAGCAAACCACTGGTTGGTGGTATTAAAGCAGTAACGGATGACAATGCCTTTACCGAGGTCCCTACTGTCCCTGAACCCACCGAGCTGTTTTGGCTGTACCTTTCTCGTATACATCCTAGCGTGAAATCTTAATCAACTAACAAAATCTCCTTTCCTGTGTCTTTCGTTGGGGAGCTGAGGTAAACACGACCCACAAACAACAAAGGTCACTCTAATATTCCTCCCCTACTCCCACCTGATTGCAAGGACGTGGCCGGCGCCGTTATTGATCTACAAAATATGGTGTCACTGAAACTTGTACAATGAGATTCATTGTACAATTTCACTGATTCTGATCAATCACGGAGTAGCAACCATTGAAATGTGCAGTCAGTCTAAACTAAGCTACATCCTAGCGTGAAATCGGAAACAATCGAGAAGCTGGTCAAAGGTTGTGTACAGTGAGATGATCCGATTAAGGTTGTGCCGCTAGTTAAAAAAGGATCCGACATCAGCCGTATGAGTTTCATATCATACAAAGTCGGATTGGCTCCCGAACTACGTGAAGTTGCTCTTACATCGGCAGGCCTATTCTGCGCGGCGTATGAGGTGAGGTGACACGCTCTCACTTGTTTTTTTTTTTCCTTTGGTTTGTTTTTTCCGTCGATCTTGTTTTCCGTGCTGAGCACCAATGCTACCGACGTGCCAGGAAGGCAGCTCCCACACCTGGACCCTACCTATCGACCCATCAACTCATGAACCGGGGACCAACGGCTTTACTTCCCATCCGAAGGAAGTCGTGATCAGAGATGTTATGTCTCAGAACATCCCGGCGGCGCCGACTGGGATTGAACCCAGGCCTGCTGGGGTGACACGCTCTCACTTGTGAAGTGACAATTGTCACCTCGGGTGAGGTGACTCTCCGTGCAAATCAAATGGAGAGTCACCTCACCCGAGGTTACAATTGTCACTTCACCTCACACGCCACGCAGAATAGCCCTGCGGATACCTGTCCGAAAGGAATTTTGTTCCGTGAATTTGAAGACGGTTCAAAAAACATGAGGATGCCTCGTTTGAACACGCCTGCCATCACGATCTCTCATGTTCCGGGTCCTTCCGAGTTCTCAACTCCCATCAGCGCCTGTCGTATTATGGGAGACCCCGAACCACTCGATTCAGTCGCGCTAGCTGTTTTCCGCCATCAAAGTCGTTCTATTTCCTGCCATCTGCGTCGTTCTGGACATGCGGTCGAGTTCGGTGGTGGGGTCTCCCAACCATCGTCTTTAGGTAAGTGTGCATACATTAGTTACAGTAATTTTCCTGATCAGCTTCCGTGTTCCAGTGCAACGCCTCAAGCATCTGCCGGCTGAAACTGTTCGAACGATCCTAATTCATCTCCGGGACGCACAATAGACCGCTCTTTGGAAGCTCCTGGTTCCTCCAGCCCAGTCATGCCGATTCCTGCCAGCGTTCAGCATAGTCGGCCTGGACCTGTGGCTGGATATGAAGCAAGAGTCTTCCACCTTGCCTTTACAGGAAAATACCGTATGCGTGATAATATTTGCACCATCGTACAAATAAGGTTCCCGTTTCACCTGTGCATACAATCACCTCTATTCCCGTTTTCGTACGAACAGGATTCGTTCGAAACGAAAGCAATTTCCCATTCCCGTTTTCGTTCGAAGCAATTCTAACTTTCGAACATCGTTCGTTCGAACGATGTTGCTATTCCCATTTTCGTACGAATGCGTTTTTTTGTTCGCTTTCCAAACGTCACTCCAAACTCGCGAATCGCGAGAGAGCCAGGGGATAAAAACTTTGAATTTTTTTGTAATCCCTAATGAAAATGTTAATTTGCTTAACGACGTGTTCGGGGTTGATTGATTGATTTATCTTTAATAAGGAGGCTTTCAGCCTGAGGCTGGTTCGCCTCCAACGTGTTCGGGGTATCATCCAAACTATTTTTGGAATAGTTCAATCATTTGGGTTATCGTTCGTGTATGGTATTTTTTTATAAGGGATGGCCTGAGTGTACAAAAAAATCTACAACCAAATTTTTGGTGTTTGATTGTAATAATTTTACTTAAACTTACGTGAAGTTAAAGATCTCATATGGAAATTGATTGAAAAATCATGCAATAAAAATATAATTTAGATTAAAAAAGGATCGAAACAACTAGAAAATTTTGAACAAAAGCATTTATGTAACAGCTTACCCCAAGTAACCAGTAAGCATTAGAACAATGCTCTAATTTAGCACTATATTCACATATAAAACAGTGATTAAATGCTTATCATGCAGTATATACTTATAAAGGGCTGATATAAAGCTAAAAAGGCGAAATAGCGGGCTAATAAAATGCTACGATGGCAGCCTCAAATAAGCATTACTAATGCTGATCTAGGGTATCTTATAAAACGTCAAATTTTTTTACCGCGCTCTATTTTTAGAAATTTTTATATAAATTTAATTTATTTTCATCGACCCAAACTGAATGAAAACAAAAAAGAAATCTTTCTACAGGTCCCATAACTCATAGGTTTTTCTCAACTTATTTGAAACCTTTGTTCAATTTCATCAGGTTTGTTATTTTCCAGCGAAACATGTTTAGGGATGAGAAGTCAAATGCTATTTAATGAAAATTACCTTTGTCACGGCTCGAACCGGGGTCCTGCAACATCATTCATTATTCCAGGCGCCTGTGCATTCTCGACCACGGGTGATACCAAAGATCAAGTTGAAAATAGTCATATTTTAATCATCTTTTAGGCGGAATTGCGTACTCCAGTTCCGCAAAAATGATGTTAAGTTTTCCGCTTGGCTGCTGTGTTCAGCTTGTTCCTCTTGGCTAGCTTCTACGTATGATGCATCAGACAAGTGGTTCCACTCTTCTTCGGAATCTTCATCGGGACTATAATCTGTCAGGGAATTATCCAGGGAAGCTGTCTGAGAATTGCCTCCATCAGTCTCCTCGTCTGCAGAATTTGTTGGACGTTCCGGAACCGCACAAACAAATAATGCTGATTCTGATCCCAGTTCATTCGGTTGCTCAATTTCCGTAGCATTGGGAACATCAGAAACGTTTATATTACGATACACATGTACTTTTCGTCTGAAATGTCCACTTTTTAACGTTTTTTTCCACTTCTGAGGACCGTCCATGTTATTTTGATTTTATAAAGTATTTTTGATGATCAACACATAACTTTTTAGCCCTTCTAAACTTTAATCAAGCCCTTTATAAGCACTCAAGAAAGTTTTAATGCTAGGCTTTCTAAATGCATGTAAGCACTAAATCATTGCACTATATGCGCATACTAAGCTTTCTGTAATGCTTATTTTTATTAATGCTTCTGTGCACTAGCAATGCTAATATGAGGCTCATATGCATTAAAAATGCTAATATACGGCTTTTTGGCATTAGGAATGCTGAATTAGTGCCAATATAGAGCTATGGCTTAATGCTTATGGTTACTTGGGACATAACAAATATTTATGCATTTAATTATGACTCAAAAACATTGCCATAGCCATATACAGTCAAGATTCCTATAGTGCGGATTCGTTCTTGCCGGATTCCTATAGTACGGTCGATCCGGCATTAACGAATAACGTAGCATATGGGATTAGAGCTAATAGGGACCAAACACTGATTGTACGGCAATTTGAAGAGATAACTTTCTGATGTCTTTTGAGAAGTTGTTAAGCAGAATGTTGGCCACCTTTTGGGACGATTCAGTTTCCGGTAGGACACTAGTCTGATCCTGTGGAAGATCCGGAATATCCGTAAAAGTGGCCAATTCATGAAACTGATCCTAGAGCTCCGCGGATTTTTCGAAACCACTCATAAACGTCTTATCAGAATGAATTTTGAGTTGTGACCAGAATATTGGCCCTGGTGACCACGGGATAGTTCACCGGAAGATCCGGAACATCCGTAAATGTGGTCAATTCACGAAACTGATCCTAGAGCTCCGCGGATTTTTTGAAACCACTCATACACGTCTTATCAGAATGAGTTCGGAGTTATGACCGAAAAATTGACCCTGGGGACTACGGATCCATTATGATATCTGGAACATCCGTAAAAGTGGTCAATTCATGAAACTGATCCTAGAGCTCCACGGATTTTTTGAAACCACTCATAGACGTCTTATCACAATTCATTCGGAGTTTTGACTGGAGTATGGACTCTGGGGACTACAAGATGGTCCACGGGAAGATCCGGAACATCCGTAAAAGTTGTAAAGTTATGAAACTGATCCTAGAACTCCTTGAACTTTCCGAAAATACTCATACACGTCTTATCAGAATGAATTCAGAGTTGTGACCTGAATATTGATTGTGGGGACCACAGGATGGTTCAAAAGAAGATCCGGAACATCCGTAAAAGTGGTCAATTCATGCAGCAGATCCTAGAGCTCCGTGTTTTTGTTAAACCTTTCATAAACGTC